AGAATACCCTTTAAAATAGCGTTTTAAGTGAGACAAATATGTCTGATTAATAAAATCCATTATATATATATATATATATATATATATATATAGGTTAGTGCAAAAAATAATGTCGTTTTTTGACGTAAAAGTTGAACGTCAAAACCGTCATTATCTATGCACCGACCTATATATATATATATATATATATATATATATATATATATATATATATATATATATGAAATGTTTTCAGGTCTGCAGCATATTTCATATATCTCTCGAAATCAGACCAGGAGGAAAGAAATAATTTTCATTTAAATAATTTTTAAAGTAGACAGTATACTTTTCAATTTCATTTCTCGTTGCCTTTAACACAATTTATTCAAATTTTAAATTTCGCTCAGTCGATTGTGCTTCAGACTTGCATTTTACCGTGGGCTTTAAATAATTTTAAATATAATATTTTCATTTGTAGTACGATTATCGGATACTCCGCCCGCCAAACTCAGACACCGCTACACCTGTCATTAATATGCCTTCTATAAGTATGCGTAAGCGTCTGTATTTCCGAGGGGCGACACCCTTCGGTTAACAGCGTCGCATCTCTCTCTCTCTCTCTCTCTCTTGAGGCTCATGTCTCGCATCTAATGCAAACGCAGTTTTTTCAGAAATTTTCAAACGGAAAATGCTAATTCCAAAATGCATAATCAAAATGTAACCGCAGGATACGAGAGCTACCTTATATCGTATTCTTCCCTGCAGTGCCGCTTAACGAATGGTTCTGTTAAGCATCAGGGGAAATTACAGAAAAGGCGTGCTGAAAAATATTATAGATTGCAAGTAGTCACTTTTAAAAGATCCGGAAATATCGTTTATTTATTTTTGTTCCTATTTTAATTTTAACGACTGTAAATAAATGCCTTGGGCTGGCATACAGTCTGCTCATATAATAAATATCTAAGGCGTCGAGCATTGGATATTTAAAAGATTTAATTAGAAGAAAAACGGAAAGGACAAAACTGATTGGTTTTACGACTGGAAAAACGTAGACATGAGGTTTTTTTTTTTTAGTTTTTAGGAACCCACTGGAAATAAATACACACTCATTTATTTGTCGCCTCCCTCTGTCTTTTTTTACAAATACTTTCACAGTAACTGCTCCGATGAGCTGTTATCGCTGGTTCCCAGACTTCATGAATTTAAGCGCTCAACTAGGCTGGAATCTCGCTCTCACCATTTCACTGTCGAAACTGTTAAATGTAGCTGTCTCTTCTATTCCAATAGCTTCATGTCTCACACTTCTCACCTATAGAACTCCCTCCCCATTTTCTGTTGCCCTGATAGCTATAATCTCCAACTATTTAAATGTAATGTCAATCGACGTCTCCAGATGCCTTGATCTATCCCCTAACCTTCTTTTCACCTTTTCCTCTATTATTCCTCTTACTTCTCCCTCCAACTCTCTGTAACCCCTTGCATGCTAGTGGCTTCCCTTTTGCTTGGGGTGAAACGCTTGTATATATATATATATATATATATATATATATATATATATATATATATATATATATATATATATATATATATATATATCATTTTCATGAATTATCACTATTTTCTTAAATACCTTACTTTTTAAAAAAATATCGAGATCATTTTAATATAATATTCTTTCAAAATTAAAAAAATAATAATTTGCAAAAATAAATTTATTTGTAACCCAATAATTTCCGAAAAATTTAATAAATTACTATAATTGTTCGATTTTTAGCGTTTTCAAAAGAATAAGATATTTTATCGTCTGCAAGTTTGTACTCTCATTTTATAAATTTATTGCTTAATCCAGGGTAAGGGTTGTTCAGACTGAATGAAGGGAATGTATTAATTGAATTCTTTCAAATTCTGTGTGTGTGTTCGTGTGTGCTCTTGTGTGTACATTAAGCACTTGTAAGTTCCTCACGCACAACACACACATACAGCGTATACATTACGTACACGCTGAAATCAACTCTTAATTGCTGTTCTTCCCATGTCTACCCTAACCTGGGTTGGTAGCATTAGTTAGGGTCCCAGCTATGTGTAAATAGTTTACCCCAGGCGGTGGAAAATATGAATGTATAAAAATAGATTTTTATAGTAAAAATACCAGCAATACAATTTTTGTAAAGAAAATAACTAATGCCCCCACCAAAAAACTGTTGTAACCTAGAAAGGGTTACTGAATGAGGAATAACCAAAACGGAGGTTAGAAATGAAATGGTAATCTTTATAACATCAACAAAATACAATACTCGCCAGCGGCGTGGAGTAGGTAAACAACTGCTAGTCGTGGACTACTTATACAACATATACATAAAAAGCATATTACCCCCACTTACAATAGTTGGGACATACTCATTAATGTTCATAGGTGTGGTATATAACAAAAATTAAATTTCGGCATCAAATGACCCATAAGGAGTTGATATGCCAATAAACAAACATTTTTAAAACAAAATAACCAGTAATATATTTTTTCTGTTATTGTAGGCATACATTTGTGTTTTAAAATATATTTAGTTGGAGCCATAAAATTATGTTAAAATTATTTAGATTTCGGCCTTAAATGACCCCTAGAGGTGTTGATATGCCGCTAAACAAACTCAACGAATCGTTTCATACACGCATCTTGACTCAACGTGACGGGCAGATTAAGAGCTGTTTTTTTTATATTATCGATTGACAATATTACGTCGAAGAAATTAACAGGCTATTGCTGCTAATACTGTTTATATCATGTCCCTTCAGGCGATCATGGGCCTCCACGGTTTTCTTCTTGTCTATTATCAGTAAATTGATATGCATTCTTGTGAAAGATGGTGGAGTAGCTCCGCTGTTTAGAATTTTGAGATTTCTTTCTATTAGAATGGCTGCCAACCAAGGCTAGGTAGCCAAGTATACCCTGCTATTTCACCAGTGTGTAACTGAAAGAGAAGAGGTTCTTCTTTTGTAATATTGGTGAAATAGGGTATGGGACAAAGTCCTTGAGCAATTACCATTTTTAAAAAAAAATTCGGCCGAAAGATAGAGAAAAGTCGTTATACTGAGAGAGCTGGGCTAACCGACATGAGGACATTAGTGTAGGTACCTTCACAGAAATGCGATACGTAAGGTTTAATTTAATGAAAGTTTCCCTTGATGCTTATATTTTAGGTTTAATTTCAAGTTAATAGATTAAATTTCATATTTCCAATAGGCAAAATGCTTTGCTGAATTACTAAACTAAGTTAAATTGACGGGATGGAATTTTTTCTTATGAAAGCTCTAAAAATAGCTTATTTTAGCGCCATTTTCACCATCGGCCATTACAGTGTAGTATTTTTATTAAAAAGTCTTAAAAATATGATATATTCTTTTTTGAAAATTTATTTGAGGAATATTATTTGATTTAAAGTTGAATTAATACGACTTAAAACAAATATTACTTAAAGTTTAAAATATTGCATAAATACATTTTTAACACGGCGATTTGTGTTCATGTTATGTGTTGACAGGTAGACAGCTTAACTCACAGACAGAAGTTTTTTTTTTGTTTGACGGTGGACATATCTGTAAAAATTACCTGACGAATATAACGTGAGCGCCTATTTTATATAATTCTAACCTGACCCATAACCTTGGGAATTCCGGAAAATATTCTCCGTAATCTAATATTTTATTGAATTTTAGATACATTGGATTAAATTTACTATAGATACCGTGCTTATTTCCAGTTTATTTGCCGTTTTTGGGCGACAACTTTTTCAAAAATCGACACGTTTATACAGACAAAAAAAAAAATATTTTTCAAATATTGGTGTTCGATGAATTGTAGTAAGTCTTTCCATTTATGTTTAACAGATATAGTTTGCACTTAACATTATCACCCAATCTGTACAAATTACTACAGGAATGTAAATGATTTAAAACTGAAATTATTCTAATATAAATTTAAAAAAAAAATGTAAACAATTCTTGTAAAAATTAATTCTTAATCGAAAAAATATTTTTCTTAAGGCCATAGTGTCCATAATATATTTTATTCATAAAGGCAATTAAAAGCTTTTCTAAATAAATATTGTCTTACCTTTAGTGCATTTTTCATTTAACGATTTAGGCCAGATTTTCGGTAAATGGGGCCCTTGATTTAAAACAATTCATGATTTAAATTCTCCAAAGAGTTGTGTGTATAAATAAATTAAACATTAAGCCGTACAAATATTAATTTTTCCGAAATTTCATGAATTAAATAAGTTGGGTGATGTTGGCGAGAACAGATATATAAAAGAACTGTTTTTACGAAGAAAAAAAACATTTCTGAAATAATTACATTTATTTGTGAGTAAGGCCTGAAAGTTTAATTAAAATCCGACAATTATTTCGATTTTACAAAAATTTCCAAATCAATGTGTTTTCACCATAAAAAAAAGACCCCAGAATTTACTATAATAATCTTTGTTCCTCCCGCTGACGCAAAAAAAAAACAAGATTTTTAACCAAACTTTCGAACATTAGAAAAAGGACTAAAAATTATGATTTAATACAAAAAATAAAATAAAAATAAATAAATAAATACAGATTTTGATTCTAAAATGTTTTCGTTAAATTTCAGTCCTTTTTACATCATGGCATGCTAATTCTGGAATCCCTGGAGGTACCAAATTAATGGCAATGATGTCTTCCTCTAGCAATGTCTTACAATGATGTGCGAGGTATTTCAGCCACAACCTGTACTTATTTAATTTCTCATATACATTTTTATAATTTAACTAATTTTCTAACTTAATTTTCGTATCCGAAGCGTAAACAAATAAATTCTAAGGAATTTCAGATCTGTCAAGCAATAACGGTTTCAAGTTGACATTCAAAATTAACCCTTTTTTAACGTTTATACGATAAACAGTTTAACAGGCATCAGTTAACATTGAATTTAGTTATTGAAATCAACTGATGACCGGATACCTTCTGTAAAAATTTGTGAAGATTGATGCTTTTTTCGGTTTATCAACACTTCGTAGGTTACCATAATACCCAATGTATAATACGCATTTATCCATAATACGCACCCCTAATATTGTGCTGAAAATGTGGGAAAATGATTCTTCTCACGCATAATACGCACCCCTTGCTTGGCAATCAGACCCTATAAATTGTACCTCTCCAATGTCATTACGGCCAGCGTTTCATACACTAATTCAAGCTGTAATTGAAGATATTTGTCAAAACTTCTTATCATCACGATTCTAAAAGGAAACAGAAATACCTATATTGTACCTACTGCGCAGACTCATTAACCTGTTTTTGTTCGATAAAATGTGCAGTTTACCGGATCTGAATGTAGTTTTTCACAAATATGTTTTAAACATAGAATAATATTATTCTTATTTAGTTTTATGACAATTCTTATTTTATTTTACATTTGTACATATTGTTAGGTACATATGATTGTTATTTGACATCCTTATGGGGTCGCAATCGACGAATGTTAGTGGCAAATTGTATGTTTGTAGTAGGTAGTCATTTCACAACTGAAATCGACTATGAAACAGTAGTTTTTTGGACATTATTTTCTAGCTGTGCATAATACGCACCCCTAATTTTGCTTATTATTTTTTTTAATAAAAAATGCGTATTATACATGGGGAATTAAAAGTATTTAAATTTGAAACCTATTTTGGAATTGGAAGAACAATTCTTTATTACGAAGAAATATTGCATTATAATCCAAACAGTGCAAAATTTTTAACAACCTCATAGAAACAGGTATTAACAGGGATGTTTTCAATGTTATTCTCATTTTTTTATTATATCCAGTGCTCTAGTTATTATCGGTATTACAGTAGTTTTAAAATGGCACTTTTTTAGGTTTTTATTTCAAGATCCTTATCCAGGATGCGGCAGAAATATACATATGTATCTCCCAGAAATTCCTCCTGCATGATAATACGACATTAGTGGCAATGATGTTGTTGGTTTACAAATGACGGTTCTCTCCCTTTTATTGACATAGTCACGAGGATCATGTGACGGCCAGTAAATGATGTCAGGAGAGAGATTGACGATCCCAGAGACGAAGGACTTCCTGATGCCACAGCGGTAGGTCTTACAGAATAAAAAGCACATGTCCTAATCCAGTGCGTAGAGAAATATAACAAGTAAGGGTACCCATTTTTACACACCGTTTCTTGGGGCGTATGTTGTAATTTCTTTGCGTGGGACACGTATATATATATATATATATATATATATATTGTTACGGTTTCTTTGGGTATATACTAGATATATAACTAGTGAGCGAGTCAAAATGACTTATTTCCCTTTATAGTCGACCAATAGAAGGTTGACCAATCAGAAGCCGCAGAACATTGTATCCGTCATGTATAAAGGCGGCCATCTTTGTTTTCTCACCGGAAGGACCAGAGCCAACATGTCAGGCGAACATGACAGACGGAAGAACTACGCTCTGCTACCGTTCTGTGATATCCACTGCGAACCTACACTACGCTTTCCTACTGTCACCGAAATATTCACTGCCAACCTCTGGATTCTATACTCGAGGACGACTGTCATGAAAATGTCTAACATATATATATATATATATATATATATATATATATATATATATATATATATATATATAGGTATCTAATTTGGTGTACGACGTAGCATTGTAAACTTCTCTGTGGACTAACCATATGTGTTATTCTTTTTACATCCATCTATTCAGTTCTGTCTGTGAAATATCGGTATTCTTACACACCTTGAGGCGTATGTTGTAATTTATTTGCGTGGGACACGTGTATACAGCGTCTCTATAAAGTTCGTGTGCACTTTAAAAAATTATATCTTTATTTGTAATTGCGATAGAAATAATTTCTAAAAAGGATTAGAAAGAAGTAAATCTATATATTTTAAGGTTTTATTGAAATTTTATTTAAGTTTCCACATGTCCTCCATCATTAGCAATACAAAGGGTAATACGATTTTGCAGTTCACGGAAAACATTTGCCAACTGATTTAAAGTAATGCCTGAAATCACATTCGTTATTTTAGCTATACTTAAAACTAGTTACATTAAACTTTATAACATTTTTTACAGATTATTTCTATCGCAAATACAAATAAAGTTATACAATTTTTAAAGTGCACACGAACTTTATGGACACATTGTATATGTAGGTATCGAATTTGTTATACGACGTAGCATTATAAACCTCTCTTTGAACTAACCATGTGTGTTATTCTTTTTCCACCCAGCTATTCCATTCTGTCTGTGGAATATCGGCGTTGTTATATCTTGGATATAGCAATGCCCATAACGAGAGAAACGTAGTAGGGAAAATAAATATTTCTTTCTCATGCTCTCGTTACATTGGCGACTCCAACGTGATCTTCGTGACTATCGCCACGATTTCGTCTCTGGGTTCTAAATGACAACTCTCGTCTCGTCAATCTCTCTCCTGACGCCATTCACCAGCCGTCACGTAGGTCCTTGTGACTATCTCAATGAAAGGGATAGAATCACCATTTATAAACCCAACAGCTCTCATTATAGTGTCTTCATCTAGCTAATGTCTTACCGTTAGGTGGGAAGTGTATGTGAGCAGAATTTCCGTCGCTACTTGTATAATAGTAGAATTTTCTAATCTTCACTTCGTAATCGTAAGTATTGAGATATCTATTTTTATCTGGTGAGCCGAATGAAGACAGTAATTATTCATCAGTGCTAAAGAGACTTGAATCACTATTTGATTGATTGAATCATTCTCGAATTTACTATACAATACCGGGAATGAATAGACCCAGGACAAAGAGACGCCTTGCGAGATATATTGTCAGCTAATAAATTAAATCAATAATTAGATAACCAAGACCTCTTAAGAGAAGCGCCTCCATCATAACAGCTTCTTCAAAAGAACTACTACATTGCGAAGCATCTATATAATTGGAAGGGATCTCAATCGGAGAATGTCTGAATGAACTGGGTTACTTGACGTGAAGTTCTTTCTGACTGAGGTCATTTGAAAGATTAAGGGCAGCTTTTAGCCAAATATATCACTATTATTATTGACTGTGGCGCATGCGCCTGGTATACCCTGATCAGTCTGGGTGTCAAGATGGTTTTATAGGGCATGTATTTGTAATCCAGCGCCATTTTGTTTACCGGAAGTTTTTTTGATCAATCATAATAACAACTGATGATTGCTATCATGAATCACCAGCTACTTTATCTATCTATCTATCTATCTATCTATCTATCTATCTATCTATCTATCTTATCTATCTTATCTATCTATCTATCTATCTATCTATCTATCTATCTATCTATCTATCTTAATTACCTATCTCACTCAATCTATCTATCTATATATCTATCTATCTATCTATCTATCTCAATATATTAATTATGTATCTAACAATCTTTCTTTCAATCTCATCTCTTTTCTATCTATCTATCTATCTATCTATCTATCTATCTATCTATCTATATTACCTATATCTATCTATCTATCTATCTATCTATCTATCTATCTATCTATCTATCTATCTATCTCAATATATTATGTATCTAACAATCTTTCTTTCTTACTTTCTTTCTATCTCACCTCTTTTCTATCTATCTATCTATCTATCTATGAATCTCAGTTTGTTAATATCTATCAATCTATCTTCATATCTTTTTCTTACTCTGTCTCTCTCTTTCCATATATATATATATATATATATATATATATATATATATATATATATATATATATGGTGATTGGTAAATTCTTATTAATTAAACTAATACGGACGCCTTTGCAAGCAAACCAGATCTGCTTGTTGTGACCAAAAGGATAAAATGGCCTGACAGATGGAGGACATGGCCCTGTCCTCAGACCATAGGGAGAAGGCAAAGACAATTAGTTATAAAGATACCAGTACCTCGCCCGTCAAATGAAAACTCTGTAGAACGTCATGGCAGGCCTGAAAGCTGATGCCTAGGCAGTGTTGAAGGTTTTTGATTGACTTGTTGTCACTCAATCCTTACAGAATTGCCGGCGTCTTCGAGGATACTGAAACGAATGAGTGAGATTACAGGAGATTTTCTCTTACTCTGTATTCAACGATAACAAACAGACATCTGATTTGAATATGAAAATTCCTCACAAATAATAATAATCATAATAGTGTTCGCAGAAGACGACGACGAAGAAGAAGACCGACAAATGCAATATCCAAATAGAGTAAGAAGAAGACAATGATGGCCTCAAAGAAAAGTGCGACAAGCAAATGAACGCAGGAAAAATAGTTTATGATGGAATTTGAAAAAGTTAAAAAAAAAAAAAATATGGAGGCTCGACAAATTAATAAATTGCGTTCTTATCTTTTTGCCGGAAGACTCGACTTATAAATTGAATATTTCCAGCAGAAATAATAGCAAGCAAATAAGAATTAAACTATTTAACTTTTAGCTAAAGCTCTCTCGATGAGTATTGGCTTGGATCCTGTAAGGTCTAATGTTTCACTAACTTAAATTAGCAACGTTTGGATGGAGGATTGAAATAATTTAAAATTTGAAGCTTGTAAAATCTGTTCACGTAAGATTTACTGTTTATTTTTTTTCTCTTGTGGAAATCATTAGATTGGTTTAACAGTACAGAACTGCATTATTTGTATTCTTAGCTTCAATGTGCTTTGCTGGGAAAGTGATGTTCGTTATTAGCAACTGTACTTTTAACTAGATCTCTCTCGAAATGTATTGATTTCGATCCTTTAAAATCTTGTGTTTCAGTATCTTAAATTAACATCGTTTCGATGGAAGATTGTATTAATTTAAAATTTGAAGTTTGTAAAATCTGTCTTTGCGATATTTACAACTACAAGGAAAAAAGTGATCAAATATGTAAACAGTATTGCCGTAGAGCTAATAACCACATGGCCAAGGGGTTATAACCTTCGCTTTTTGACCATGAGATCCGGGATCGAAACTCACCTTGATCGATTTGTCAGGAAGTCTCCTTCCTGATGTTATCGATCTGTAGCAGGTGATTCCAGCTTGCAACACCTTTGGAAAGTGCCTGAAAGCCATACCATGGGCTGACCCAAGTGAAATTGGGTAGACGGTACCATTGGGAGCAGTCAATAGCCGTCTTAGCACAAAGTCACAAGTCATCGTGACCGAGGTTTTTAGCGTACTGGCCTAGATAACGCGCCCTTTCCCAGAAATTGTAACTTAGATCTGCTCAGCGTAGTTGCAGTATAAACCACAGGTGGCATCTGCGGGCGTTGAACAAAAGCAAAATATGCCTGAGTTTGCGTCTGCAATAGGGATTGTCTAGCCGCGCTAGTATCCTCGAATACGAGTGGCCAGATATAGACAGAGAGATCGCCGTCCTGCTAGGTAGATGAGAGTCGTTAATAATAAACATTGCTTTATTAGGTCGGAACCAAAGGGAGGAAGAGGAAGAGAAATCTTCCTCATCGTCCTTGTGTACTCCCCGGTACTTACGCAAGACCTCCCCACAAGGCAGGGTATGGCACAAGGCCAATGCATTTGAGATTTGTCTACCTCCATAAACATGACACTGCTCTTCGGCATAGCTTCGTCTGGGTTCCTCTCCGCACGGCGGCAAAGTTAGACAAGATCGGAAGAGGAAGGGAAAGCCTCCTCCTCGTCCTGGTTTATAGTTACCAACCTCCCCACACGGCAAGGTACGACTCAAGGCCAGTTTTTAACCCGGGGAGTTCCGTGCACATAGGCTCGGGAAAAAAACTGCCAGTAGACCCCGTATACATGAGGTAGGGTTTATCTACTTCCCCACCTGGAGGCAGAGAGTTCGACAAAGGAGGGAAAAGGAAGAGTAAGCGTTCTTACTTACTTCTTTCTGACGATTCTTGGCATCCGTATTTATGTATTTGGACGATTCCAACTCTTCTGGACAGGTGTGTTCATTTTCACAACAGTTTGTCATACTGGTTTCTGCGTATGCGACTGTATATTTTGTACTATTGGAATCAAATCTTGCGAGATTTCTTTGCTGATGTTACAGTGCAAACATGGCCGCCTCGGCAGCAGTGTGCACGAAGGTGGAACAAAGCACAGTGATCCGAAGCTGCAGATAACATGCAACCTCATCGATGATAACTCGCCGAATAGCCATTAACACCTCTCGAGTTTGTTGAATGTTGTGGTCAGTGATGGAGGTTGATGAGCGTCCGGCTCCTTCTTCGTCCGATACGCTTGCCCTGCCACATTTAAACCTTCTCGATCCACTCATACACACTTCTACGCAGTAGTGAACTGTCGCCGTTTTGTGTTAAACGCCCCCGGTGCATTTCAGCCCCTGACACACCTTCCGACCAGAGAAATCGGACCATTGCTCTTTGTTTCTCTTTGGTGCACACTGTTAGCAGAGCGGTCATGTTAACACTGTAACAGCAGCAAGAAAACTGCTATGATCAAGCTCAAATATCGATCACGTAACTACTGAAGGCAATGTGACAAACCTAATGATATGTTACCTCCCTTAGAGCGTAACATATACCGCATGGCACAAAATAGCGGTCCTCACCCGAGAGATTCTTAATATACGTCGAAGCCTCTTATATAATATTTGTATGTATGCATGCATGCATTCAAATGTGTGTGTGTGTGTGTGTGTGTGTGTGTGAGAGAGAGAGAGAGAGAGAGAGAGAGAGAGAGTGTGTGTGTGTGTGTGTGCGTGTGTGTGTCCAGGAGAATGTAAATATATAGCTGCATGTATGTATGCATACATTCAAATGTAGTAGCAGCTTGCTTAAAAAAATGTGGTGGGAAAAAGGATGTATACCTGTATTTCAACGAAAGACTGTTTGAACGTCTAAGGTAGCCAGTGGGTCGTGTATGCCGCGTATAACGGCTCTGAGTATGGATCAAATTAATTCATCGATCCTAATTTACGTTGATTTGTCCAGCTCGCTATATACATATCTAGAGATCTGCTTCGAAAGCCCAGCTTTGTTTCTGATTGGCTCACAACCTGATATCATGGTTTGTAACAATTCTTTTTTATGATTCTCTCGCTCGACTAGGCTGTTCATAGCCTGGTCAGGGCGACTTCTGTTGGCTGGTCGAAATATGACTTTATAGCCTAGCGATTCTGAATATACATTTATTTTTAAAGATGTTAATATTTTGGTATCCTTGTTATTATTTGTTTACTTTTACTTATTTATTTTTCTGTCAGTACAAGCTGACCATTTTACAGCTGACCATTTTTCACTGCATCTTTGTCAATGGATTCTAAATGTGAGTTCAATTTGGGATCTGGGGGTGAAGTTGAGACGCAATAAAATCTCAACGGGGAAAAAGCTGGCTGGTTCCATTCAATGCCTCAAATAAAATTCCAACATCGCCGATCGGATTCTGAACTACCACCAGTCACGATTAATGAATGCTCCCTCGGGGAGGCCTCGTGTCGATCCGCTCATACACACTTCTATGCAGTAGTGCACTGTTGCCGTATTGTGTTAAAAGCCTCTGACACACTTTCCGACTATAGAAATCGTATCACTGTTCTTTGTTTCTCCTTCGTACGCATTGCTAAAGGAGAGACCGTGTTTGCACTGTAACAACAGCAAGAAAACTGGTACAATCATGCGCACACATCGATCATGTGACCAACTATAAGTCTTCATGAACAAAAGTGTGATACACATAAAAATATGGTATAACGAAAGTACAGATAATTTTGACTTATGCTAAGAGTTTCAAATTTTAAACTGTTAAAGTCTGTTCTTGCATAATTTACTGTTTTTTTTTGCAAAAAATGATAAGACATACAGGATGTGATGGGTAAATTATCTCCATTTTATATTTTATTTTCGCGCATGCGCGTGGCTTATTTTTGGTTTTGTCATCTGCGCAGTATCGTATGCTCAGTTGAGCACCATCTGTGAGAAAAAGAGCGCCATGACGCAATTCACTCCGCCATAAATTAGTCAACGGCATACTGAACTGCTTGGCATTCGTGCCAGAAGCTCCAATACAAACATTTCAGTGTGTTTAGGTGAGGACAGTGCAGAAAATTCAGTAAGCTTTGGAATGAGTCTAATGGTGATTACGAAGATACAGCAGCTGCGAAAACTCACTCTGAGCATTCTTATATGAAAAGAATACCTAAATTTGTTGGTGAGAGTGTCAGACTGAACAAAAAGGCTTATATCAAGTGCCTTGAGGAGACAGTGTTGCCATGGGGCAAGAGTGTGGCTGCTGGAAAACGCTGTGTCTTGCAACAGGACTCTGCGCCATGCCACAAAAGCAAGAAGACCCAGTCATGGCTGTCAGAAAATTTCTGCAACCACATCACCCCTTATATCTGGGAACCTAAATCCCCATACTGCAACCCCCTTGATTATTATGTGTGGGGTGCAGTTGAGCGAGAGAACAACAAAACTCCTTGTAACAACAAAGATGAACTAAAGGCAAGGATCATAGCAGCATTCCTCAGCTTAAACATGGAAGCCACCCAGATGAATTGCAGGAGATTCCGAAGTCATCTGGAGGCCGTGGTTGAAGCCAATGGCTATTTTATTGAATAAATTTAACCATTAGTATTTCAAGACATTTTTGTGCAATTTTGATAAATGTATCTGTTAAAATGAAATGTCGACGTTGTTTCCATTTTTTGCGTCATTTAGATGAGAATTTACCCACCGCAACCTGTATTTACAATACACAGACGCATTGTTTGTCATCGCTGGTTTGATATGCTCTGCTCGGAAATTGGGATAACAATCGAAATAATAAAAACGTGGAAACTTAAAACTAAGTTTGTCTTTGTTGTGATAGGGTCATTTGATTTGACAAAGAAGGGTATCAAGAATCAGGTGAGTAAAATTCGTGGGGTACGTCAGAGCTACGAAAGATTGCTTTTTGCGGAACTGAACATAGCCGCTAAACTCTCTCCATCTAAACAAAACGTCCCAAATATGTACCTAGCATTGATAACTTTCCTACAGTA